TGTGTGTGTGTGTGTGTGTGGAAACACTCATTTATTGTCCAGCTTTCCTGTGACACTTTTTATTTAACAAGGTTAGAAATCAGCTAAATCTACAAAAACAGATATTTCAAAACTTGGAAAAGACACCAAAATTTACAGATTGTGCATATTCCAGATTTTGTCTCTTTCTTTTTTAATGACATTAGTGCAGCTTTGAAGGAAATGATAACCCCTATAGTTTAACTCTACAAGACTTTTAGGAGCTGAAATGTACCCTTGAACACTGCGACTCAAATGTAAGCCTATCAAATAACAGCAAGCACTGATTTGTCAATAAGATTTGTTTAATGTAATTTGATAAGCAAAGCTATGTAGAAACCTTATGTATCAGCGGCATCTCTCTGATCTCTCACATTAGATTTGTGTTAGAGCAAACAGTCCACTTAAAAGTTGTAAATAAACATCTTAACATTTATCCAAAGTGTTTTTTATTGAATGTGCTCTGAAAGCCCTCCAGTTTCCTCTTTTCAACAGGAGCAGCAGTCCAGTTGTTAGAGCCATTAGCAGTGTGGTTGGTGGTTCAAACCCCAACTCTTTGCATCAGAGTGTTTAAATTTTATTAGGCAGGCTCCTACTCTGTATGTGGGATATAAGTAGTATTGAATCAAAGTGTCTGGAAGACGTAATGTAACTAGAAGTGAGTCAGGACATATTGGCTCGCTCTCTGTTCCTTTGCATCGTATATTGCTTCATAGCTCTTTTAGGAGGAATCAAGCTGTCACTCAGTCCGACCCTCTTCTTCTTCACATGCTGCCCTTCTGGCACTTCCTCCTTTGTTTCCCTCTGGGACCTTCCGCCAAATGAACCGCCTCCAGTTTCTGGTGTCTCTTCAATCTCAGGTGGATGACAGTCAGTGGAGATGACTGGCTTCTGGAGGTCACTGTCATGAGCAAATTTACATTTGATCCCAAACCTGCACCTTCCATCTTTCCTGTAGGACATGCATATCCTTTTACCTCCTATCTGGGAAGGTTTGGCCTGCATGGTGAGGGGGACGTGCTTCTGCAGGGCGCTGAGCTTCTGGTCTGCTTGAGCCTTAAATGGGTTGGCAAACACGCTGCTGTCAGATGACGCATTTAGCGCTGGAGAGGGCAGTTTTTTAGAGGTGATGGAGTCCAGTGAAGGAGTAGGCAGTTTGGAAGGGCGGGCTGCCGACGTAGGTGGTGGTGAGGGGTCTGGATCCTCGTCCTCTGCCTCCGATTCACTGGAAGCGGAACCAGACTCCAGCAAAAAGTTGCGGGTCTTTTTAAAAGGCGCTTCCTCTTCACACGTTTTCCCAGAGCTTCAAAACGACACAATAACAGAACGAAGAGAAATTATTATTATTCCAGGCTAGCCGAGTGGTGTTTGCGATACATTTTTATTTTTACTCACCCAGCTTTGCCACTGTTTACATCGTCTGCAGCGCCATCGCTGTCGGAGTCGGAGGACACTCCGTATCCAACCAGAGAGTTCATACCTGTAACCGGAGCTAGAGCTCTGCCTCCCGATTAAAAAGCGATAACGGTGTACCTGTGAATATAAGAGGCAAGAGAGTTGTCCATTTTCCTTCTTTAATAAACAAAACAAGGGAAATTGCTGTAAGGTTAGCTGCTGTCATTAGCCGTCGCTCAGCGTTCCGTTTAGACTGCACTGCCACCTGCAGGACAGGAGTGGTACTGCAACTGTGACGCCACTAACCCACAAATGACAGTTGACCAACACAGATAAGCTGCTTCTTTTTCTTCTTCCAGCTGCTCTCCTTGGGGGTCGTCACAGCGGATCATCTGCTTTCATGTCACTCTGTTTCTGGCATGCTCCTCTATTACACCAGCCCTTTGTGGATTATCTTCTTTTCCTTTGCCTGCTAGGTCCATCTTCAGCACCATTTGTCCAATGTACTATCCCTCCTCTGCACATGTCCAAACCACTTCAGCCTTTGCTCTATAACTTTATCTTCTAACTGCTGTCTCTCTTCACCTCTGCCTCCTGTCTTTTTGTCAGTGCCTCCGTCTCGAAATCATACATCATAGCAAGTATCACTACCATCTTGTAAACCTTCCCTTGCACTGTCACAAATCACCTAAAATCATTCTAAAATGTATCCCTTTTTTTAATCACGTTAGAGTGGTTATCTTATTTTGTAATTCTCTCTTAGTTCCGTTTTTAAAGTGTATATACGCTTTTTATTGTTTATCAATCTATTCAGTGTTCATTGTTGACTACTTGCATTAAATGTGCTGTATAAATAATTTGGTTATCATTTTCTTTTTAGTAGTTAAAAATCCACTTGACTGTCCATTTTCATTTCATTTTCTTGTGGAGAATAATAACTGTAGTTACATTCCTCGCAAAACAAGGCACCAGTTTGAGAAAATGTCAATGTTAGGCCTATGCACACTGTGTTAGGTACACTTGTTTAACTAGGTTTCAACACCACTATCTAATCAGCCAATCACAAGGTAGCAACCCAGTCCATTTAGGCATTTTAGCACGGTCAAGAAAACCTGCTGAAGAGCATTAGAATGGAGGGGGAAAAAGGTGATTTAAACTTTTAACGTGGTATGATTTTCGGTGTCAATCCGGCATTAGTAAGGCATACCTGATAAAGTGTCCATTCTATATAGAAAGTTAGATCCCAGGGCAGATCACATTTAAATCTTTAGCTGTGACCTGCCCTTTCTGTGGAAGTTCTCCTGAAAACTATTCCACTTATTTTTGCTCTTAGAATTTAATATTTAGGTTGTGGAAAAAATATTTTCTCTGATTTGTTTTTCCTTTAAAAATATGATTTGCTTTCTATGACTGCGCTAACAAAGACGACGCTATATTTCTTGCGTAATTAGGTAATCCTCCTGTTAGACACAAGTGATTACATCATTTAAGTTCCACCTGATGATGTGACGAGCCGGAAGTGGCCTAATTTGGAGTGAGCTCCTGTCCTCGAGCGCTGTGGTTAGGAGGTCAGTCTCCATAGCGATGATGGCAACTTCTAGTTTCAGCTGTTGATTTTTTTTTTTTTGGTCTCTTATTTGTTATCATTGGGGAACACACACACACACACACACACACACTACTTAAATTTAGACTATCTCGGCTCGGTCACTACCAGTAAATCGGATAAGCTGCTCATGAATAAGTTGATGAGCTCCTCCTCACTCCCCTCCTCTCCTCCGCCCCCGCTTGTCCAGTTAAATTCCTCCAGTCAGGCATCAAGTTCCCCGGGGAAAGGGCGGAGATTTGGCCTTAAACTCTGTAATACAAGTACCGAACTGTAAGCAGAGGAGGTCGGACAAACCGAAGTGGTTTTACGGAAACCTCAGACAAGACTGACTTTGTGGCTCTAATTAACGCAGCGCTGAGTGGGAGCTGATGGGCAGGCTGAAATGAGCCGGGAATCCGATGATATCGGGATGAAGCAGGCGTAACCGGGAGTATATTAGGGGCTGGTCTGCTCTGCTGCTACCACAAGTGAGCGCGTCTTCAAGTTGAGGTTCAATGGCAGGGAGGTCGACCAGAGGCATGAACGGCTCGAATGGGAGCAGAACCGCGCCGGCAAGGGCCGCTGCTCTAGCCGATCTGCTGCACTATGAGTGCTCCACCTTACTGGAACTCTTTGTGAGTATAAGAACTTATCCCCCCCACACACACACACTGGCTGCAGCCTGCCAGCAGGTCACAGTTTGCTTTTAGAGTGAGCGAGAGAGAGAAAGTCTGAGGAAGAGTGTGTGCGTGAAAGAGAGAAATGGGCCAAGGTTAAAAGGAAAATTAATAGATATTGTGTGTGTGTGTGTGTGTGTGTGTGTGTGTGTGTGTGTGTGTGTGTGTGTGTGTGTGTGTGTGTGTGTGTGTGTGTGT